GTTAGAAATTATTTTGGAATAAAATGGACCCTGTACATGCCAGGATGTAAATGAATAGTGAATTCCAATTTTGTAGTACTGGAGGTAATGTTTATCAGCAGTTTTATGATAGAAGAATTATTTATTAGAATAGAATGTTTTCATATAAAGATATCTGTCATGGTTTATAAAGATATATTAGTGTCACAGCCATATAATATGGAATTAAGTCAGGCATGCACAGAGCGAGAGAACAAACTGAAGCAGTTACTTGGTTTCTCTAGAATAAAACTGGATTTACAATTTTGCATAAATTATTAGAAATATTGGAGATTTAAGTGCCTTCTCAGCTGTTCCAGAATTATAACAGATTCGAAATCAGAAAGGGAAGAAGGTAAGGAACCAGTACAGGGAATGAAGAAAAAACCTTAAGAGGTATCAATTAATGGTCCAAAAGTATTTCATATTATAATAAGTGGGGGGGGAATTGTTTTGAAGAAACTAATTTATTTGACCTATGCATAACTGGACCTTAATCAATTAACTGATTTAGATGTGTACCATGTGAATCTGACCATCTAAAATTGTATGTGTGAGCTAGGTTTACTGGAAGGAGAGCTTAAGGTACTAAGGCATTTAAGACAGTAAGAGCGTTTCTGTCATATTTGTGGTGCTGGATTGTTTGTGTGTATAAGTTACTACTTTATGCTGAATGAGACATTTTGAGCCAGTACAGAGACACCCAAACATATAGAGAAGGAGCACTCATATATATTATCTGCTACCTTTTCAGGGCTTTCAGGACTTCCTTTTCATCCATGATCCCAGTATCTGGATCCACTGCTGTGAAGGTGCACCTACAGACATAGAAGTTATTAAATTTTAATTTCATTTTATAGTAGGGATGTCTTAAAAATTGAAATTATTTGTTTTGCGTGGGATCAAAAGACCATCAGTCTGCTCTCTTACCTTGGACAAGACATTTTTCCTTTCAACTTCACAGTTCCAATTAATATATCAACCCAAGTATCCTATATCAAAGAAATTGAATCCCATGAGATACTTTGCAGTTGCATTATTTAACTATTTTCCAATAATACATGTCAGTCCTAAAGCAACATTTCTGCAGAGTTTTCTTTTTAACCAATATACTCACAAGATCATATTTAAAAAGCTATTAATAGTTATTAATAAGTTAAACATCTCAATAAAATTCTTTTGAGGCATATTCTGCAGTAACATAAATTAGAATGTAGGTGGAAAAAAGCAGCAATTCAAATACACAGTAAGATAGACCCATAATACTTACTTCTTCATAATGACTACAACCTTTAACAAGAATATTCGGCCGGAAGATTGTTACTGAAGCTTTCTTTTCTAGCCTTGTATTTAGATCATCCAAGGAAGGTTCAGAAATCAGCAAGATTGGACTGCCTTCAGCATAGGCAACCTTTAAAAGTAAATACAAAATATGTCTGGCCTGGATAGTGGTCATAAAGATTGGCATTTGTCTGCAAAACAGATAATATCAGTTGCCATATCCTGATATAACAAAATACAATCTTCAGTTGTATGATACTCTTCATTCAGAAGAGCTCACTGCAATTTAATAAAACTCACTGTTTAATTTCAGAAAATGCTTTTAATTAAAACATGACATATCTATTTCATATTTTTAAATAATTATGAAAGTTCATACATTGCACTAGGCCATGATTTATTTAATTATGATTTGCTGAATACTGTAATCCTAATTGGCAGGTTTCACACAAAATGCTAAATCATAAATCATAGCTTGCAACCCACAATGGCTGAGTCACACTAAGCTGAAGCCAGACAGATCTCATGATGACTTTCTCCTATAATGACATTTTATTTTATTTTATTTTATTTATCTCTATGCCACCACATTCCTAAGGTGGTGGTGTAGAGTTAAAATGAAAACACAGTACAATAACTCAATAAATATTTAAAAACCAATAAAACTATTTAAAGATACACAGTAGTATTCCGAGAGCCATTTGTTATTAGAAGTTAAAATATGGATGCAAAGGCAAATAACTAAGGATATGTTCTAACCATAGTTACGAACTTGTAGGTGTAATTAAAATAGAAGTGAAAATCATAAGCTTAAAATCAACAGGATGTGAAACTGCCTTTTTTTCTTCTGTTTTCGATGTTGCAATTCATACCAGTGATTCTTCACCATGAATGTAGTCCCTTTGCTATCCAGTCTTGCTGGCTGAACTAGTAAAACATGTTTATTTTCATATGTAATCAAATAAGTTAAAAACGTACCTTAAAAATCCCATATTTTGGGCATTGTTCAATGTGGAATAATGTGAGAATATGAATGGGTTCCTCAAGACTTTGCAACTTTATAATGAAATCCCAGTGAGCCATTCTACATTAAACCAATGCCTTTTCTTCCAGTAACTACTAAGAATAATCATTTCATTTCTGTGACTCATCTTTATACATTAAATAACCACTTCAGCCTTATTAAAAATTCAAATACATTAGAATCTATTCTTTTAGCAACATGCATGATAATTCAGTGAATTAATTCCTGAGTTACTCTATTTAGATGTGTAGAAGAAAATAGGTAAAAGATATATTTACACCTGTTAAGAAGCCTTAACAAACAGGGACAATGAAGAGGAACATATGTTGGCTCCATTTCCCTGCCTTGATTAGATTTTTGGCACAGAGATGGTGCAAATTCTGCAGACATAAGATTTTCCTTGATTGAATTATATTTCTCTATAATGTCAGAAAGAAAGATGTACATAAAATGGAACATATGATTTATCCTGAACCAGGGCAAACAGTCATTCTAGAAGTTGTATGGGTCAGCAGAAATAAAACCCAGAATGTTTTGTTTGCTTCAGATTTTGGAGAAAACACAATTTGGAGGGATTCCATTGGGATCCTGAAGTGCTTTCATGTTATATTTCTCTATAATGTCAGAAAGAAAGATGTACATAAAATGGAACATATGATTTATCCTGAACCAGGGCAAACAGTCATTCTAGAAGTTGTATGGGTCAGCAGAAATAAAACCCAGAATGTTTTGTTTGCTTCAGATTTTGGAGAAAACACAATTTGGAGGGATTCCATTGGGATCCTGAAGTGCTTTCATGTGGTGGGTAGGACAAACCTGATGGGTATTGCCTCTTCTCTCTCCTCAGTAGCTTCCAGGCAGCAATTCCACTGGTCCACCAGCCCCAAACAATCTTCCCAGATCCTTCTCTTCCCACTCTCCTCCCAGCTACTGTTGCCACACTGCTCCAGCATGGCAGCTGTTCTGAGCACAGAATGTTTGTTTATGTAACATTTTAAACTTCCCTATTCCGAACTGAAAGAAACATGAATTCCCAATAAGATTCTGGGAATTTTTTAGAGTCAGGATTCATTTTTAATGCTATTTCCTGGCCAGTTCTCAACATGCATTTTTAAACCATGTTCAGGAAGATGTATTTCTGAATTAAAGCAGGATACAAACCACCTGCATGAGGAAAGGAACTAAATAAGAGTCATCCATAAGGCCCATTAAAAAAGAAGGCCAAAAATTATCTAAACAAATACAGTTAATTTAATGAAATGTCAGGTCTAGCCCAAAGAACTCCTGGAGACCGTGTAGGTTCAATCAGCAAGGTTTATTAGCTAGCGCTTATTTACAG